GAGGCGAGAGGCCGTTCCACCCAGCAACAGCCCCTCCACGAGGACAATGGACGTGCAGATGAAATGAACCTAGATAACCAGGCAACAGCCAGACATGGTTGCCCGCTTCTCATCCTACAGGAATCATGCAGCACTCTGAGAGAACTGGGAGGACCAGAGTTTCCTTGTTGGCAGATATAACCGGAATTCTCTGTTCCAAAAGGATCACAGCAGTCGAGTCCTTGCACCGTGACGGTGTTGAGAAGGAAACACTCGTACAACGGTCCCCATGAGAGTCGTCCTCCGTGAACAGGAAAACGTTGACCGTGGAAGTCTTTGAGCCAGACCCAGGAAACCCTAGGCCCACGAGAAGCGTGAGAGTCAGGAAAAGAGGAGGCCGGTATGCAGGCCACATCCCAGCCAGCCTCAGTGCATCCCACTCCCATGTGTTTCCCGGAATGACAGCCGAAATCGAAAGCTGGCCAGAATGGCCCGGGACTGTGCTCCAACTGATCCCCCAGCACGTTGGAGTCCTTCCACATGGGCACCGGGCCAGGGTGCGGACCGCTAGTGCGACGGAGGGAACGCGGGGGTGGAGTCGGAAGTACTTTCCGTATTCATCTGGAAGCACCTGTTTAGCAGATGAAGGTGGGGGACCCCATGCACACCTCACCAGATTGCATCCTCACCCCATCTGAGCTAACTGCTGCCCACCCTCTCCGTCCCCGGAATGAAATCCCAAGACGATGGAGGAGTGCCCGCCTCATGACCTCACGACGTGAAGCGGCTGCTCAGCTAGGAACCGAATTCGAGGGGGATTCGAGGAGCCCTGCGCACAGGACTGCTAGGATCTGGCCCCGGCTTGGAAACGGGAAAATGAGGCACTCGGAGGTTTCTGTTCTCGGGTGTGGTGTGCTCCTCTTCCTTGTTAGCAGACTTGCTGCTTTGCGGGGGGGGGGAGGTGCTTAGGGCTCCCGCGAGTCTCAGCCAGTGCCACAGTTCACCCCGGATTCAGGAACCACGGAAAACAATAAAGGACACGGAGCCCCGGAACCCAAGAAGAACCTCACAGAGAGGCGGACCAGAAGGTCGGTCGACTCGGGAGTGGGAGGGGGTACATGAAAAGAAAAAAAAGATAAGGGCTACAGTGCTTGAGCCATATTCCCATCAGCAGACGTCACGTACACGCACACAGCACACAGGCAAATACAGACACACGCCCACACAGACACACGCACGTGCGCATCCACACACACACACACACACACACACAGTGCCGCCTACACACGCGGGCAGCCAACACTAGAAACAATCCCGCACAAATACACCTCCGGGCACCTTCTCAGGCTGCGCGGTTCTGCTCGCCAGGAAGCCCCTCCCAGGAGAGGGCACCCGGAGAACACAGGCCTGCTGTAGTCAGAAATCACGGGGGCGGGGGCAATGTTTAAGGAGACTGACCCCCACTCGGTCCAGGCAGGCTTGACGTATGGCGCGGATCCTTTTGGATGGTTAGGGATTTCGCGGTGGATCCCTGGGCCTTCCCCGGACGTTTCCTCAGGCTGGATTGCCCCTGCCCTGTCCTAGATGGTGAGACTATAGCGTGGATCCCCCAGATAACACAGGCGAGAACCCAACACCGACGCCCATCACAGAGGTCCCCACTTCTCCGATAAGCCGCCGGGACTCGTCGCCAGGCAACGAAGACCTTCACTGTGACGCAAGCCAGGGCTCCGCACTCGCGCCGGGTGCCCGGCCACTGGCGCATGCGCACTCGAGGGGCTGGCTCGGGCGCCAGGCTGGCATGGTTGTCAGCCTGCCTAAGCAAGGAACATGGTGCAGGCAGAGCCAGCCTGGTCTGAGGAAAAGGGCTGCCTCCGAATACCATTGCGGGCCGAGAAAAGTCTCCTCCAAAGGGCCTCCCGAGGTCGTCTCCGTGGTCGGCTCCCCCTGGAGGAGGAGGCGATGGGAGACTGCGAGGAGGGCGCTGGAAAGCGCTCCTGGGACTTCATTGCGGAAAACGGCTCTGTGCAGGAATCGGGTCCCAGAGGGTTGGGAATGCAGTCTGGTGAGTTGTGGAGGGCTCTCCGGCTCATGGATGAATACCTGAGACCCCAGAGGAGGGTGTCAACGGAAGATTGCGGGGCCCTTGAGCTCACTGCCTCCCTTCATTCTGGGCTGTTTAGGGACTCCTGCTTCTCAGCACGGCAGTCGGAGAGAAGCGGGAAGCGCGACCAAGGGAAGGACACGGTGGAGAAGGGGTCTCACCCCTGGAACTGGATTCCCACGGTTGTACGTGAGGTGGAGAGAGGGTCTCAGAGGCCTTCTGCGGCGATTGCAAGATTGAAGTGGTTGTCCACTAGTGCGTTCGGGGGCACTGTGGATCCCCCGTGAGAGCAAGAGAAAAGCAAGACCCGCCTGGGAGAACCAGAAGGTTTGTGCTGGAGTCCAAGTCAAGTTCACGGATTCTTGCCAGAGGAATCAAGAGCCTCCAGCAGAGTGCAGACAAATTCGGGCCCTACAAGGGGACCACGATCCACCACGTGGATTGAAGTGAGCCCACTCCAGAGCCTTGTGCCCCCTGAAGTTCCTGGCAGCCAAAAGATCCGAGGCGAGAGGCCGTTCCACCCAGCAACAGCCCCTCCACGAGGACAATGGACGTGCAGATGAAATGAACCTAGATAACCAGGCAACAGCCAGACACGGTTGCCCGCTTCTCATCCTACGGGAATCACGCAGCACTCTGAGAGAACTGGGAGGACCAGAGTTTCCTTGTTGGCAGATGTAACCGGAGTTCCCTGTTTCAAAAGGATCACAGCAGTCGAGTCCTTGCACCGTGATGGTGTTGAGAAGGAAACACTGGTAGAACAGTTCCCATGACTGTCATTCTCTGTGAACAAGGAAACGTTGCCTGTGGAAGTCTTTGAGCCAGACCCAGGAAACCCTAGGCCCACGATAATCGTAGGAGTCATGAAAAGAGGAGGCCGGTATGCAGGCCACATCCCAGCCAGCCTCAGTCCATCACAGTCCCATGTGTTTCCCGGAATGACAACCGAAATCAAGCTGGCCAGAATGGCCCGGAGTTGTGCTCCAGTTGATTCCCCCACACGTTGGAGTCCTCCCACATGGGCATCGGGCTATTTTGCTGACGGCTAGTGTGACCAAGGGAACGCAGGAGTGGAGTGAGAAGTACCTTCTGTGTTCATCTATAAGCACCTATT